CTAGAATTTTGTTAATTTTTAACAGATTTTTACTTATTATAATTAAAAAAAAAAAGCTAACTATCATTATTTATTTTTTATTTTGATAGTTTTAGAAATAAAATATTTTTAACAATACTATTTTCAATTATGATAGTAGAAACAAAAAAAGATTTAGAAGAAGAGATTTGCTATAAAAATTAAATAAAAGATATTATATAACAAGTATGACAAAAAAGCATTCTAAATATGTATATTATTATATATTATTATTATTTAATATTGATATTTTTACTTTTACGTATCATTCGATAGAATGATATATATTGCATATTTTGACATCGATTTTGATATCGATATCAATGTCGATTCATTCATATTAAATATCAGCTTCGCACTTGTGAAGTAAACTTTTGTAAGATTGATACAAGTAGACGTCCGATTTCTTATCATATTGACGCCATATGGCGAAAATTACTAATTAATATTTTCTGTAAATATTAATATTCATATAATGTATATATTAATATTTTGTGTAAAGAAAATATTGCTATAAAATGATATTATAATACTTATCTAACAATAAAAGTAAAAATTCGTTCTATGTATTAATGAGAAATTTATATTTTTATAGAGTATATTATTTTATAATAATTAAAATATAAGAGAATTTTTTATTAAAACCTTATTATTTATATTGTATGTATAGTTAAGTTTTAATAAATTTCTAATTTTTTTATTTTTTAGAAACTAAAAATAATTATTAAAGTTAATAATTAAAATTAATATTAATATCTATAATTTTAATCATTTTTAATTATGTACTTATTTAAGAAAAATTATATAATTAATATGAAATTATAATGAAATATAAAAAGAATAAATATTTTATTTTATACATAATATTAATATTAATAAAGTATAAAAATTATATAATTATATATTATTTCAAAGAAATTTTTTCTCCTTTCAATGTATTATATATAATTCTTTTTTAAATTATTTTACTAATTAAATTTTACGTTATTTTATAAATCCAAGTAACATAATTATTTACTAACATGAATATTTATTATAATAATTTATTATTATTAAATTTTTGCTATAATATAAAATATGATTATTCTAAAAGAAACATCTTTATTTTGCAAATATTTATAAAATCTTAATTACAGTATCTCTAAGAGACAGAAAGAATTCATAAAATTTGAACTTTCTATATGGACAACGTTCAATACCACATATAGTTACATAAAATATACTTCATTAAAATGGAATATCGTAATGAAATTTAATAAAATATAATTACAAAAAATTTATTAATATTTATTTTCTTATTGCTTGCTCTTTTCGAGATTTTACTTGTGTATAATATATAACCTTAAAATTACAAGTTTAAAAAAAGCATCCAATTCTAGACAATAATTTTAAACGTATTTTTAATGTATTTTTTATACATTCTTAATCAAAATTCGTTTTTCAATTTTTATTAATCTTATGTTTCTTATCTTCTGTTATATCATTATTAATATAGTGTAATATTAAATAGCAAATAGAAAAAAAATATCAATTTTAGTTCATTATTATTCCTATAGAAAATATAAATGATAAAAAATTTGACAATATTTTTTATAACATTTTTTTATAATAAATTTGGGTCCCTTTAATTAAAAATTTAATATTGTATTATACATAATTTCAAAAAGGGATTCATTAAATGCATATTATATTATATATAGTATTATCATATTATCGTATTATGTATAATAAAGAAAAACAGAAAAGAAAAATTTTTATACTAAATTTGTCTTTTTTAAACTATAACTGGAAAGCTTCTTATTTTTATTATATTTTACAATTATGATTGCAATACTTATTGCAATTCCTATTAATTTACATTATAAAATTACTTCTAAACAATTATATTTTATAAAAAAACTATTACTTTATATTATAAATTTTAAAAAATTAATGATTTAAATTTATAATTTCGTGATACATAAGTGATCATAAAACTTTTACATTATATATAGAAAATTATTTTATGTTTCAAAACAATTTAAAATTGTATAAATATAAAGAATATAATTAATACAAAAAAAAGAAGTAATAACAAATACATAAAAAATTAGATATTTAGAGTGCACCATTAAAATTGTCTATATTAATAGTGTATATATGCAAATTGAATTTTTTCTAATATTCTCAAATTTTTAACTTTATATGCTAAAAGATAAATTACTTAAAATAATAATTTTTTGTCATTAATTTTCTGACAGTTAAAACATTTAACAGACAGTTAGTGAAAATATATTAAGAAATTTGAATCAAGAGAGAATAATCTCCAGTAAAAATATTAATAATATAATACTAAAGACTCTTAAGTGAAAATTTTTAAAAAGAGTGTACAGATAACAACATAATAAAGGCAATTCAATACTGATTGATGTGCACAATTTAAATGATTATAAAATAGAATCTACATGATTAGATATGTATGTGTATACACGTATTTACATATACATGTATATGTAAATATATATGCACGTATACATATTTTTGTATGTGCGTGTATATATGTATATATTCATGTACACAATTATTCACTTTTAAGGTTTACGATTTAAGAAAAATATCTAAATAAATATCAATGTTACTCTTTCTCTTATTACTTAAAAAATACAGTTATGGCATCGCAGTATGACTGAATATCTATAAAAATTAGAGTTCCTTTTGGCATTCTTATTTTAATTGCGATCGTTGTACAGCTTCCTATTATGAAAGAAAGTTTATTCTTTCCAGTCTTTCTTAATTTCAAATGACCACTCCCACTTAAGATGTTCATGTTTGTCATCATCAGTAAACAAGGAGCTTACACTATAAGAGCCACGTGCCACTTTTCCAGCTGGTGCATCCTCTGTTGGAGTAGTATATGATTGAATTTCTGTTTTTGGTGGATAAGAACCCACCATATGCATCATTTTATCCACTAAAAAGATAATATGATAAAAATATTAACAATAAACAAATTGGACCTATATATAATAATTAATATAATATTTTAAAGATACCTGTAACACCTAGGAAAGAAAGCATTAAAGAGAGAAATATAAAATTAAAATTATAATTTAAAATATATTAATTAATAATTCAAAATAAACATAATTTAAAATATTGAGTTAATATTGAAAATCTTAAAATATAATTAATATTTTTAATATTAATATTATTATTTTATAAAAATTTACCTGGTACTCCAAAACGATAAGTTTTTTGAACATATTTTAAGCCATGCACAATTTCACGTTGAACAATGAAATCAATTCTGATTCTATAGCTAACACCTTCTTTTATTACAAATGTTTGTTTTTTTAATTGAGATAGATCACCTGTTAAATCTAATTCCATATCTGGTCGATCTGCTACACAAAGTGCTAATTTTTTTACTATTACTTTTCTAGGATCATTTGGATCTATAAAATTTTAAACCGTCATTATTTTTATTTATTTATTTTTTTTTCAAATAATTTATTTTAAATATTTAATGAAATACATACCTACAACAATACCTCCAGATTTGGCTTCTCCTAAAAGTGTTTCTTTATATTTACGTAAACTTTCATCTTCTTTATCTGTTTCTAAAATTTGTTCTATTGTTTTTTCTGGAGGAGGTTTGTAATTAGATTCCACTTCCAATTCTTCTTCTATAGAGTCAACGTGATCAGTATTAAGTTCTGACATATTTACTAATAACAAAAATACATTAATTAAAAAAAATATATTAAAGTTAAAATATTATATATAAAAAGTTTCAATAATTATTTTATATTATATTTTAATATTATATTTAATATTATTTTTATATATAATTATATATAAATATTTATTTTTGATATATAATGAATATTTATTTAATAAAAATATTTTAAGTTAAAAATTTATTACATTATGAAAATAATAGAAAATTTAATTATTACTTTCAATTAATAGTTAATAAGCAATTTAAATCCTAAAAATAATCAATGTAACATAATAATTTTATCTATAACTAATTTTCAAAATTCGAATATCAATACTTATATACAGTCTGTGACGTACATAAATCACCATATAGATATACTACTAGAAAATATTTTTAGAAAATTCAAATATTAAAAAATTAATTGTAAATTATACATATTTTATATTTTCTATACATTTTTATAATATTAACAAATTTAAAAAAAAATACTAAATAATTATTCGATTAAAATAATAGTTTAGAATAATATATTAAAAAGATAATGAGAAAGTGACAGAAAGGTAAAAAATGTTTAGATAGATTTATGAAGTTAAAAATGTTTATAAAAAATATTTTATAGTTGAAGAAATAGAATATTTAAGCAATATGTGTGTGTGTACTTACTATAATTATAAAATAATAAGATGAAGCTTAGAAAATGAAAACTTGCACAGAATTATTGGCAATTCTTTAATCCTGTTTGCCACCCCTTCTATGATTTGCTCTGAAAGCGGAAGACATGGATAATATGGCGATTCCAAAAGGGCGGGTACTTCCTGTTTTAATAGTTTTTGAGGTTAAGTTTTTCTTGTATTTATTTCTTATAATAATTTTGAAAAGAAATAATATTTTATGAAAAAGGAATATTTTAATTTTATTAAATTTATTATTTTAATTATCCGAATTTTTTATTTTTTTAAATATTCAAAATTTATGAACTTTGTATGTTCTTTAAATTTATAGATTATTTTCCCGCGTTTTTGTATAAATAAGTTTGTTTTTATTTGTTAATATATTAAATAAATTAAATAAATTTTATACGAATTAAATACTATTATATTATATCATTTGATAAAAAATATTAATTAATTTAACCTTAAAATTAAATAATATATTGATTAAAAAAATTATTTTTAATAAATAAATAAATTGTTAATATGAATTTATAATAAATAATATAATATATATATAATAATATTTTATTTGATATATTAATATAATTATACATCAAAACTAATGAATGTATTATCTAACACAATATTTATCTATGATAACTATCAATTTTACTTATTTCTTAAAATACATTGACAATGTTCTATTAATATCTCTATTCCTATTTGATTTCTAAAATTCATCTTACACTTTTGAAGTTTTTGATATAATAATTCTGGGTGTACTTTGGCTAATTCTTTTAAACTATCTAAAAAACATTTAATAAATAAAATATATTATAATGTAATTTTAATTGAAATATATTTTTGATTTAAATAGTTTACTACCTAATACAATATTTCGAAATTCACTTTCTGGATCGTCCAAATATATTATAATTGTAGTATATAAAGTATCTATATGTCCTTTATTAAAATGTAAATCGTAATTCTTAGGTATTGCATTCCAAACTTCTGTTAAAGCTTCTAATGATATTAATCTAACATCATCACATCCATCATCAAGTCTTTTTAGAAGTACAGGATATATTTTATGTACATATTCTTCTGTGAGATGATCAAATTGTTTTCTAATACACATTATTAGATACATAGCTTGCAAAGAATAAAATCTACTTTTCTTAGAATTATCATCTGCAAGACTAATTAAAATAGGAATTATTTCATCAAGTATTAAACAAATATTTTGTTCATCACAATCTATAGTTTCTTTCATTATAGAATCTTTTTCATATTTATCTAAAAAAATACATAAACAAGAAACTGCTGCTGTACGTATAGCTTCAGCAGTTTTTCCTGCACTCCAAATTAATCCAGGAAGTATACAATCTTTCAAAAATTGATTAGAAAATTTCAAATCCATAATTTCGCTTAAAGATCCCTGATTAAAATATTCTGATAATAAAATAAAATGTTTCAATCTCAATTCAGGATCAGCATCATTTGTCATAGTTTCTTTCAAAATTGGTAAAATAATGTTTATATTATAAGCCAAAATTTGTTTCATATAAATTAAACATGCACAAAAAATTTGAGATTCTGAATCATGAATTGACCATGACTTATAATCAGAAAATATTGAAAATAATTTATCAATATTTTCATAATAAAATTCTTTAACATTATCAAATGAATTAATATTAGCAAGAATATTTAATAATTTTTGTGCTTCTAATTTTATCAAATTTTCTTGTGTCATAGATAAGACAGTGAATATTATTATAAATAATTCCTTTGATATAATCTTACAATCCTAAAAATTTTTAAATATATTATAAATAACATAAAAAATTTAAAATTTAAAAATCTCTCTAAATAAACAAACAAGTAGACAAACCTCTTTACATACTGAAATTAAAGAAGAGCAACAAGAAATTATTTGTTTTTGATATGTTCCTTTTTTACTTTGACAGATATATGGCTGTTGTAAGAATTTTCCAATATTTTCTAATAATGGAAGGAGCATACAACGTTCACTACTTTTTAAAATTGCAGAAAATACTTTTAAGTGACCTACAGATGGAATTTCTTCAAAAGTAGGAATTATCAAATTACAATAGATTTTTGGTGATACAAAATATCCTAAATATTCTGCTGCTCTTTCTATATTTTCTACAACTCTATTATCTTCATCATTACAAGCTCTAATAAAAAATTATATATCTTAGAAATATAATTATAATAATTATTTATTAATAATTAATTTTTTTTAATAATGTATAATTTAGTATATATATTTACCGATACATAGGAGGTAAAAGTTTTCCAATATGCTGTATTACATCTTCTTCTATATTTAAAATAAATACACAAAGTAACTGTGCAGTTCGTACTCTTATGTCTGCAATCCAATCTTCTAATTCTAAACTAATTCCATTTATCAATTTACTGAAACATTGCTGTGCTATCATACGGCATCCTAAATTTGGTCTAATAACTGCAAAAAATTTATAATAACATAAATATAAATATCTATAATATATTATAGAATGTACCATTAGGATAATGATGAGGATTTTTGGTAAGAAAATCCAATTTATTTTTTAATTTTTCATCATTTTGATTTTCTTCTATATACAATTGTCCTACAGCATCCCAAAAGGTAGCACTTTTTTGTCTAATTTCTTCTAATTCATCATGAAGACCTGTTAAAAGTAATGGAAGAATTTTGTGCCACCAACTATATCGATCTCTTAATTTCAAAAGCCAACAACCTGATACTTCTATTACCGCTGTGAATAATTTTAATAACTTATTAATAACTTATTAATATTTATATATATATATATATAATGAAATACCTATTATATAAATAATAAAATACCTATTCTTACAAGACCATTTTGATCAAACAATCGTCCTGCTAAAAATGTAGTTACTTCTTCTATAGACTTATTAGTATTTCCATATAGAATTAAATCTCCTATTGTTTTTACAGAAGCAACTCTAATTCTATAGTGTTGATGTGTAAAATTATTCAAAATTGGTTTTACAAAATTTTGAGATTGTATATAGAAATATCTTGATAAATTTTTTGCAAATTCAGATATACAATCACAGCTTTCTTTTTTAACAAGTGGATAATTATCTGTTACAGTTTGTACTAAGATTTTTGTCAAATCATCAATATATGATGCTAATAAATTTTCATATTTCAATATTATTATTTTTAATAATATAATGCACTTTAATCGAACTTCTTCTGAAGTTTCTATTTGTTCAGAAGAACCTAATCTTTTAGATAAAATTGGAAGTAAATACATGATATATTTATCATTCGGTTTTAAATTAATTATAAATAATTTTATAATTTCCAATGTTCGATCACGACACTCTTCTACAGAATCATTTAAAATTCTTAATAATGATTTATTAATAATATCGAATAATTGCAATATTTCATTTTCAGATTGCTTTAATTCTAATAATTTAAAAATCTCTTTTAAACCTTGTATTCGTCGTTTTTTTACTTCTGATTGTAACATAACACAAATCCTAGTCAATTCATAATTCGGAGTTTCCACAGACATTCTAAAAACTTAAAATATTTTAAAATTTTAAGCAATTTTAAGAGATTGTTTGTTGACTTTAAAATTATATTTGATCTGTTGTTATAGTAACGTTTTTATTGATTTATTTGTTTTAATCCAAATATTTAGTAACCATGTATACATATATAATAATCATATTCAAGTTAAAAGAAAAAAAAGGCTTTTCTTTTACTTTTTATTAAATTTTCATTATTATACACTAAAATAATGTTTATTACTCCATCTTTAAATATACTTTTCAAGTATGCAATATAAATCTTATAGATTTTATAGATCAAAATATACAATTAAAATGAAAATCAAAATTTATATATATATATAATATATATGTATACACACATATATATATTAGATAAACTTATCAATTATCAATTCTAAGCTACATACATAAAAACTTAAAAATGTATATGGAAATTATGAAGCAATTTAATTACTTCTAATCTAAATTAAATGAGACTAGCATGATTAATTTTTTTTAAAATAAAATAATAAACAAAATTCGATAGATATGTTTTGTATATGGTCCTTGAATGTAGAAACTCTCAGTATATTTAAAATGTATTATTTCATCATAGTTTCTAGTCTTCTAAAGTGACATTTTTAAATAAATATGACATAGATTCTTTATTGTGAATACGCCTAATAGCCTCTGCCAGCAAAATACTGATATCAACAGTCTTTATTTTTGGACACTGCATTTTTTGAACATCATGAGGAACTGTATTTGTAACAACAACCTAAAAATAATAATTATAGATTTAATTTTAAATCTATAATTTTAAAAAGTATATAACAATGTTTGGTTAAATTTTAAAAAAATTTTGAAGACTCATTTCCAAGTTTCTTCTATTCATGTTTCAAACTTCAGTTCAAAGTTAATAAATAAAAAAAGAAAGAAAAGAAACAATAGCTATAACCATATATATATATAGAACAAAATCAAGCAGCAATGGTCAAGAATCGCAACTTCAAAAAATTTTTTATTATCATGAAAATATGAATAATTATTCAATAAAAAAAACTTTCTGTAATTTTAATTTTGTCTTTACGAAAAAATAACAATGAACAGCAAAGATTTTTCTAATTAAAATGAATTCAAAAAATAATAGAAATCAGATTAGTTTTATTAGTAATCAAATTATTATTGATAATTATTAATATATTGATTTATTCACTAAATAATAAGATTAGTTTAATTTAAATATCGTATTTGAATTCATTTTAATTGAAAAATATCAACAATACATTGATATTGTTTTCATAAATCTTTTAACAAAAACTACAAAAAATAAAATTTTCTTTATTACATAATTTTTTTATCTTACAGCATTTTTTTAATATGCCAGTTCTTGATTGCTGCTCAATGTACTATTTATTTTATTTCTTCTAGATATCTATTCTTATATCTATTTTTTCACTTTATCAAACTAAACTCACTTTGTTGAATTAATTCCTGGAAGAAAAAATGTTATCAAAATACACTCATTAATTTAATGCTGACTCTCGAAAATTTTAAAATTTAACCAATTACTATTATATATATAAATATATATTCATATGCACGCATATATATATTTAAATAGACTATAAAATACCTCGTCAATTGGAGATTCTTCTATTAATCTTGGAGCATCAGAACTTAAGAGTCCATGTGTAGCTAAAACATAAATTTTATATGCTCCTCTTTCTTTAAGAACTTCTGCTGCAGCTACATAAGATTGAACATCATCTATCATATCATCCTAAAATATAAAATTCTTTTCATATAATTGATATAAATTATATAATTTCTTTATTTTTTAATTTTTATATATATCATTATTAAATTTACATACCACCATAATAGCTATACGCCCACCTACATCTCCCACAACATTAATTGGAGGTTTTTCTTTAGCAGGATGCATTGGAACACCAACACCAACTTCCATTGTTCGTGAAGCTAATGCAGGTGGAGAATAACGTCCATCATTCATGTCTGATTCTGCTTCACGTTGCTCTCCATGAATTACTGCTATTCCTAGACGTAATCTTTCTGCATAACTAGTAGCTTTCTTTGCACTACCAGGATTTCTTGCAACTATCACTGAATTGTGATAGTCTGGTATCTGATTAAATAAAATTCAAAATTAAAAAAATCTATAATGGTTATTTTTAATGGTATTTTTTACATACAGATTCTTGAATATACTGCAATAAAAATGGACTAGCTCGTAAATTATCGACTGGTACATCAAAAAATCCTTGAATTTCTTTTTGATGCAAATCCATTGTAATTATATGTGTTAAACCACTTTTACAAAGCATTTTTGCTAATAGTTTAGAAACTATACATCCTCGTTTACGCATTTTACATTGTTTTGAATAAGGTAAATATGGAATGACACCAACAATATTTTTTGCTGAAGAAGTTTTACATGCATATGCCATAATCAGAAGCTCCATTATATTATTGTTTACATCTTTTGTTCCTGTTTGTATAATATAGAGATCTTTACTTCTTACAGAATCTCCAATTTCAACCATGGTTTCACGATTTGACTTATGATATACAGAGCATCCTCCATGTTTAACACCTAATCGACTATAAAATAAAACAGTTAATATAAATTAATAAATTAATAAATTATTATTATATAAATTATCACGACATATATTTATGAAAACCTACTTGGCAATAAGATTAGCTAATTCTGGATGGGAATTACCCGCAATGAGTACAATATCTGATGATACAGGTTTGTCCATAATATAATTGTGTTTAAAAATAAAATAATATATATAATTTATATAACTTTTTTTTTTAATGTATATAGGAAAAACTATTTTATTATTTTAAAAAGATAAAAATTTTAATAAGTAAATAATTATAATAATTATAATTTAATATTTTAAAATATTTAATGTAAATACTTTATAATTTACACTGATATGATAGATTATATGATAGATTATATATTTACATATATTAAGTTACGAATTATAAAATATTTTTGATAATAAATTAAATTATATTTTGTTCATTTATATATTAATATTATACAATGCTAGTGATAAAATATCATTAACTATATATTTAGTTTAAATATATAAGTTAAATTCTAAAGTTAATCTAATCTTCTATATTTCGTTTGCGTTAGGTAGTACTTTTCGTCGATTTATGGCTTCTTGAACAACTGCTAAATTTCAGAAGTACCAACTTATATAAACATTTAATATTGAAGTATAATTTTTATTATTGATTCTATAATTTTATAAGTAATTTTTAGTAAATAGATATAACTAAATAGTTAGTGTCTTTTAAGATACATATATTTCTTGACATATATATAATGTGTATACGCTTTATTTCTTTTAATTTGAGTTACTATTTATTTGTTAAATTCTCTATTCTACTATTAAATAAATAATATTAAATAAAATATTTAATATGATATAATAATATAATATATAATAATAATATTCTTTTTCTTAAAAAAAATATTAATATAATTAAATATTTAATTCATATATTTTTATTTTTAATTCATATTGTTGCATATTGGATATTATAATAAAAAATGCATATCGGATATATATATTAATATATATAAATATATTATAACTTACTTTATTCTAAAAATTATTATTTTAAATATTTTATCAAAATATATACATACATATATGTAACAAAATGTGTAACAAATATTAAGAAATTAAAAATCAGTATTTTTAAGTTATATACATGTAAATATAAATACGTAGCACAAAACAATTAATCGAATTCATTTTTTTTTTGAACATCGAATTTTAGCGAAATTTTTTGTTTCTTAAAAATTAATATTTAACATTCTTCTATATTTATTCAAATATGTATTCAAGTATGTAACAAAAATTCATAAAAAACTAACAATTCGTAAATAAAAAACGTATTCATGAAATAAAAATATATAACTTATATATGATTTACATATGATTATCAAAAAGCTATCAAAGCTGGCTAAATTTTAAGAAAAATACTCAAATTCTTATATTTTTTTATGCATTTTTTTAAAATTAAATTTTGATGTACATAATCTGAAATGATAGAATGAATTATCAAAATTCATTAATTTAAAAATTATTTATATTTTTAGGGATTTTTGTGATGATATGTATATTATAATTATTGCCTTTGGTATTTTTGTTATTCAATCAGATTGGATAAAAATCCAAATGGCATTATATAATTTATAAAAATTAAAAAAAAATTGCGATTCATATAAATTTTTTTTTTAAAATTTAATAATGAAAATAATAAAATATTATATATAATGTATGGAATTAAATATTGGAAAAAATTTATATAATAAATTTACATTATATTTTATGTAATAATTTATAAATTTAAAAGTGTAATAAATTTAAATTTTTCATTTTGGATATGTATCCTAAATGATTTATTCATAGTGAAAAATGTAAATTTATATTTCATTTAAAATAAACATCTAAAATAAAACCAATTTTTATTTTTAATAAATAGAATAACAAAATATCAATAACTCTAAATTTGTCCATTAATAAATGAATAACTATTTAGATAATATGTATTTTTGTCGTAATTGTACATAAAAATTGTACATAAAAATTTAAATTTGCTTTAATTTGATACTTATTATTTCACTAGTTAATATTTTGAGAATTAATAAATTAAATTCAATTATTGATTAATGATTGAATAAATATTTCAATTTTTATTTTTTAATTACAGATGAAAATTTATAATGAATATCCAAAATAGAAAAATATAAATTTGATATGTATAATATATAATACATAAAAATAAAAAATAAAAAATAATAATAAAAATGAATGAATGATTTCTTTAGTTGATATATTTTTTATTTGTTGAATATTTCATTGTTTGCATATACGAATTAAGATCGCAAGCAAAATTAAAAATTGAAACATATGAATTTAAAATTGGAAATAAAACAATTATATTCATTTGCAATGATTTAATTTAATTAATATTTTTTTATTATTTATTTTCTATATCTAACTTATATATAATTGAAAAACAATAATGAGATTAAAAATAATAATTTTTTTTGCAAGAACTTTAATAATATCACATACAAACTTATATACTACTAAAAAAAAATTGCAGAAACATGGTAATTATTTTTTTAAATAAAATAAAAAATAAAATAAATAATAAAATAAATAATCTAAATAAAAAATATTTACATAAGTTTCAGAAGTTTAGTTTATTTATATATAATATTCGTAAGAATTTCTTTCGATACGAGTTATTCTATACACTAAATTAATTATTTTTTATTATAATTTTTGAAATTTTGTTGAAATTGAAATAGATAATAGTTCATATAAAAATAAAAGAGTTCTGATTTATTATTATTTTTTTAATTTTGAAATTTTTTAAAATATACAATAAATTTTTAAAAATTTTCATAAAAATTACATTCGTATAATTTTTTATTTTCATTCATACAATTAGATATTAAACACAATTAAAATTAGATATTAATTCTTTTTCTTTTTATATTTTATTCATAAAAGATTGATCTTTTTATTAAATTTTTTTATTTCATGCATAAATTTATATTTGCAATATATAAATAGAAAAATATATTCAAATCTTAAAAATTAAAAAGAATTTATAAATTTCATTTTTTTAATTCTCTATTATTTAAAAATTAATTTAGGATGATCGAAAGAATAAATAAATATTACAATTTTTTCGATTTCAATTTATTCGATTCATATATATTCATGTATATAAATACGCATTCTCACTTGATCGATCAATTTTTTTGGCAAATTTAGAGAAATTGAGTGATCTTTGTCATAATAATAATAAAAAAAATATTTAAAAAATCAATTTATTATTGTAATTATATATATATATCATAAATATTTAAAATGTTCTATTTATAATTCTATGTATCTATTTCTGTCAATAATAGATAATGATTTTTTTACAATAATCTTAAAATATTGATTTTATTATTTTATCTTAAAATATTATTTTTTTATGATTATTGTAAAGCATTATTAATCATAAAATATCATAAAAAGATAGTAGTTTTATTTAATAAGAAGAAAAATGGCAAAAATATTATAAATGTTAGGATATTTTTGAATTAGTTTAAATAATTAAAGCATATATTTCCAACATATAAATATTATAAAATTACGTTGAAGATTCATTTATATTGTTTAAAAATATTTTTCAGTAAAAATTATAATTATTTTAGTATGAAATAACTCATAATTAAATATTAAATTAATTTTTTTAAAAAAACATTAATTATATTTTGTTTTATCATGTTTATCATGAGCATCAATCGATAAAATTTATAGTCGAATTAAATTAAAAAATTAAAAATTGATTATAAAAAATCACAATTGATTAATTCAAAAATAAACTCATTTATTCCTCATTGAATATTTATATAAATAAATTGAAATAATGACTATCGACTAATGACTAATGACTAGTGTTTCGATTATGTAATTATTTCGAATTCGACTCATACATTTCGCTAATGTATAAATTCTTTTATATTGCAATTTACAATATAATCATAAATTAATTTAATGTAAAAGTTTTTTTAGGTTATAATAAAAATCATAATTAAATAAGATAAAATAAGATAAAAAAATCATGATTTTTATTATATGACTATTATGCTATTAAATCAATATTATGATGATAAAAATCATACTATTTAGTATCATAATCTTAAATCACAATTTACTAATATAATACTCATATTAAATATATATCAAAATATAACTTAAAATAGGTATAAAGTTAAAAAAAGTTTTGATGTTTCTGATTGGTTATAAATCACATGACACTAAATTCAAATTATTATTGGCTGAATTAAATAGTTGATGCTTGAGTTTTCAGTTTCAATAATAAGAAATCTTAAGTGCGAGGAAATAAATATTTAATATTTTTTTCACATTTTAGAAACTTTTTAAAGATATATGAAAAACAATGTCAAGTCCTATAAGATTATCAGCTACAGATAGTCCTGGAAGAACTCCTAGAAGACAAATACAAAGTAGATCTCCTTCTGCTTTTGGTACTCCCCGTAAGTATTTATTTTAAAGGTTATTTCATATTCATTTTTATTTATAATACTAAATAAATGTATTATATAAATATAATATAAATGAAACATATAATAAATTTTATGTTTAAGGTAATGCTGTCCATAATGAAGATAATGATAATGTGGAAACTCCATTAAGATGGGGTACTACTGGTACTACTGGAGGTGCTACAATTGTTGCTTCTTCTGAACATGAAAGTGCTGTTGATTCTGGTGATCATTTTACAGATCATTCTGGTCCAATTCATGGTTCAGAAAGTGGTTTGCAATTATCTTCTCCAATTAATTATGGTACACCAAGCTCATTAGGATCAATTCGAACTCCAAGAAGTGGAATTCGAGGGACTCCACTTAGACATAGACCTGATATCAATACAGATAAACGTTTACGTCAATTTACAATGCAAGAACCTGTAAGTTGATAATGACTAATTTTATTATACTCATTATTTTATTTAAAATAATGATTTTTTTTTAATATAGATATTGTATATTTTTCAATTTTATATGAAAAATGATTGAAAATTTTTAAAAAATATATATTTATATTTTGATAATATTATTTATAGCTATATGTCATAAGTTTATTTATTTATTTATTTATATGTCATAAGTTTTATTATAAGATAAATA